GCAGAGTCAGGACTGAAATTCAACTCTTCTGACTTCAAAGTGGGGGGTGGGGCAGGGGCACACTCTCCCCACTACATTAAGCAACAAAAATCATTCCAGTGAGAATCTATGCAGCATAGCTAAAAGCTCTTCTGGTCCTTTATCAAGATCCCATCAGTTTGCAGCTATATTCAAGGCCACTAAATTATATCTTCATTGACTAAGAATCATAAGTAACTAGTAGAAAACTAAATTAAACTGCATGAGCATATTTAGCAAGAAAAGGGAACTCACTGGTGGTGGCTATGGCTATACCTGCCCTTTCATAGGAGGATACTTGTGAAAAGACTTTCATGGTTTCCTACTGATCTTGCCCAAGAATGTTAGCTCTAGGGCAAGACGCCTAGGGCTGACAGAAGGTACTATCACAGCAGGAAAGGGTTCTAAGCTTACCTCATCTTCCCTGTTTCTGAACCCTTCTTTAATACCAGGGATTCCAAAAAGATACAAGGAAAACAGTGTTCAAGAAGAAACAAAAGAAACAGGTTAAGGGAACGAGTTAGCCAGTTATTTTGTAACAAAAGAGACCTAACCAAAAGGTATAATATTCAGAATGTGAAGAGCTGAAAGGGAAATTGTTAAACAACTCACAGCCAAAAAAAAGAAAAGAAAAAAGAAATTAAAAATAAAATAAAAAACATACAGCCTGAATGTTGGCAAGATGAAGGCAAAAGTGATATGGCAGGATTTGCCCAGTATCTTACAGTCATTAGTAGCAGAACCAGAACTCAAGCTAAGACATCTACTTCATGCTTCAAGACCTAGTCCCATGTTTGACTTCCCAGAAGCTTTTCCCAACACCAACCTCTGATAGAGTTGAGGTTTCTCCCCTCCCCTATACCCACCATGTTTCCACAGCAATTTGTACATCTATTTATTATGTTAGGTTCTTGGAATATAGTGGCACATCCTTCTGAGATAGCACTTATCTTGGTGTACTATAATTGTCTCCTTACATGTGGAGTCCATGGAGGGACTGCTGGTCAGGATCAGGCTTCTAACTCCTCAAAGGTGAGGTGGCACCTAGAAACTGAAAAGATAACCCTCTTCCCTAGTTTATCACTGGGAGCAGTGAAAGGAGCACACAATTTAAGACAGATCTGCTTGCTATAATAGAAAGCGCATATACTTTGAAATCATAAAGAGCCAAGTTCAAATCTTTCCTCATCCTTTAAAAGCCATTGTATACGCTGGCCACGTCATATGACCTGAATTAAACTACCAGTTTCTTTAACTGTAAAGGAAGTGTACTACAGGGTTTATGATTAATAAGATTAAAATTAGTATATATATGAATTACCTAGCATGTGATTGTCAAATACTTTTGAACATAACCGTTACTAACAATAAATGTTTATTCTAATGCATTGTATTTGGCATTTGTTTACAAATTATCCCATGTGGATCTTCTATATCCAGCAATGTGAAGGAAGAGATAACCTGAAAATCTGCCTACTACGTAATACACAGAAACCTTTGATAAAGTTTAACAAATACTTTATATTATATAACGAACATAGACAGAGTTGAGATTTTAAGAAGGAGAAAGAAATCTCCAGGAGACAAAAATGTAGAGAAAACGAAAAATCAGGAACTCTCATAGTGAGCTGGCATTGGACTGATCTGGGAAGGCTTTTTGTCTGGGCAATCAAGGGGCTTGCTTTTCAAGTCACAGAGGGTGGGAGATGAGGCCTTGGCCTTGGAGAGGCCGTGAATTGGAACTCAAATTCCCCTGTGTAAAGATGGGACCTTAGAGGAAATCATATTGTCAGTTAAAAATAAGTAAATAAACTGGCTCAAAAGTACAAAGAGACAACAGGAAGCTTAGGTTAAAAAAGAAAAGTTTCCCTAAAAATTTGAACTTTGGCTTGTGTGAAGACTGAATTTATTCTAGTGGTGTGGAGTTTATACTACCTGTGTGGTCCTAGACTCTCCAGCAGAGAAATTAACTTAAAACACAGTTCCAGGCTTCTATTTCTTGGTGATTAGTAGAAACAAAGGCAACCCTTCCTCTCTTCCTCCAGAGAGGTACTAATTATCTCATTTAATTCTCACAACTATCCTATAAAACAGGTTATATTATCCCCACTTATAAAAGAAAAATTAAATTTAGGGAGGTTTAGCAACTTGTCCAAAGTCACCTAGCTATTATCTGACAGAGCTGGGATTTGAACCTGGCTGTTGTTCATTCAATCAGAACACATTTACCAAATTCTACTATGTGTCATGCAGAGACAAGGTCTGTTCCCTTTCCAATGTATCACACTGCTTAATCTTCTTTGTGCAAATAAATAGATAAATGCAACTGTTTTCTTCTTTCTCAAGTTTAGCAATTCAGTAAGAATGAAGGCAGCCAGAATCACAGGAAACCCACAGGACTCTGGGCTTTGTCTGCCAAACCAGCCAGTCCTCTTCTGGCAAAGGAACTTAGGTTGCTGGAACACTCTGACCTGGAAAGGGAAACAGCAACATGCTCCCCGAGCTAGTGAGGTATGGGGTTCTGCCCAATGGGTCCTGATTACTGGAATTAATTTTACTAGAATAAACATACAGAAGTTCAAAGAGAAAATGTTTACCATTAAGGCAAAATTGGGATAATAAAGCTATTGTGATAAACACTAACATAAGAAATTAAAAGTTAGTGATGACAGCTATAATGATATTGTGACAGGCAGTTAGCCATGAGCAGAGCAAGGACAATGGGCCAAGGACAGAAGGTCATCAGGGTGGAAAACCCTGATGCCTAGCAAAGAACAATTGTGGGGTGGGACCTCATCCCCAGGGTGGCCTTTCCTCCACTAACATATCTCTGGTCAAGCAATTTAAACCCCCTGACCTTTCCTCCCTAGAGATAACATTTAGGCCTCAGTTGTGTTTTAGCTCCAGGCCCAGAAAAGCAACAAAACCAGCCACAGCTGACCTCAGGACCAGCTGCACTGAATAATGCCTCCCCCGCCCTGGCACTGACCAATCAATCCGTGGAGACCACTATTCTGAAAGAACACACCTGGAAAACTGCTGAATATTCTATTAAAATCTTCCCCTGGGACCTCCCCTAAGATCTTCTCCCTTAAAACCATTAGGATGGAGGACCCAGTGCGCTCTCCCTCCTGGGAGCACTCCCACACCTTTCCCTTTTCCTCCCCCTCACCCTAGGCTCTTACTATTAACCTTCTCACTCCCAAGCTCCAAGGCCCCCTTCCTTTACCTCTACANCCACCCCGGCCCACACATTAGCATTAGCTTCCACACTCCCAAGCTCCAAGGGACCTTTCTTTGCCTTTATAACTTGTTTCCTAAGCCTATTTCTTCTAGGAATTTATTCTTCTACCTCTGTGATTTACCAAATAAATGTTATCTTATAGTTTGGGTCTTGGCTCTGAATTCTCTCCTAGCCAGAACCCAAGTAGCAAGGTTGCTGAACTCAAGTCCGGTGTGAACCCACTGGACAAACATCCAGTGCTGTTTCCCACAGCTTACAACAATATTAGGCTTAACCGCCAATATATTTCTGAATGTTATTTAGGATCCTGCATTGAGAAATCCTGATTTACAAGTAAGCAGCTATAAATGTTAGCAGTTTTTTAAAATTAATATGCATTCTCAGAAGCTTAAGATAACACACTGGTCATCTTATGTGTATGTGTGCTTTATAAAAATAGTTCTAAATATTTGTTAAATCAAATAATATATCTGAGGAATTTCTGAAGCACCCCCTAGTGCTCTCTCTTATAGAACAAAGTTTGGAACAACCCAGGAGTTCCCTGAGATCCCTGCCACCAAGACCATTATTAATCTACTTTCTGAGCTTCATCTCCCACTTTTCCCCTTTTCTACTCTTTACCGCAGCAAATCACAAATATTGACTGTACCCTGACCATACCTTCTTACCTCCGTGTGCTTGGTCATTCTGTTACCTTCACCTTCTATTAAATTCATGGTATTTTTGAAAGCTGATGATATACTAAGCACCATGGTGGCAAATTATATACATTTTCTCATTCACTTCCACTACCATACATCCTACCCATCTTTATTTGTCAATCATAACAACCATTATTAAGCACTTACTTTGTACCAGATATTATATGCTGAGTGCTTTGCACTAGCTCATTAAATCCTTACAGCAGTCCTATGAATAGAGTAATACTATTGCTCTCATTTTATAGTGAGAACACTGAGACTCTGGAAGGTTTAAAAACTTGCCTAAGGCCATTGTAAGGGAGGGACTGCTTCCTGGAAAAGTGCTGTCTGAGCCCCAAGCTGAATTCGGATAAGGTGGAGCTGTCAGGAGACAATGGCATTCCAGACAGAAGGACAACATACACCAAGGCAGAAAAGTAGGAAACAGTTTGGTATGCAGTTCAGGTGGGAAAAAATCAGCCTTCACAATCAGCAGACCTGGGTTCAAATATCTATTTTTGTATGGTATTGTAGCCTCTTATTGTGACTATGATTTTCTCATCTGTAAGACGGGTGATGATAAGCTGTACGGTGCAGAAATGCTTTAAGATTAAAGTGCCCAGCCCTGACTAGGTGGTTTAGTTGGTTGGAGTGTCATGACATGTACCAAAAGGTTGCGGGTTCAATCCCTGGTCAGGGCACATACAGGAGGCAACTGACTGAGTTTCTTTCTCACATCATTGTTTCTCTCTCTCTCTCAAAATCAAGAGAAACATATCCTCGAGTGAAGATTAAAAAAAAAAAAAAAGATTAAAGTGCCTAGCACAGGGCCAGGTCCGTGGTAGGTACTCAACAAATAAACATTATCTCCCTTCCTTTCTCCTAGTTGACAATTCAGTAAGCCTTATTCTCAATGATGTGATTTCCATCTCTACTGGACCCCACACATGTCTCCCTTCTACAAGTTTACAAGCTTTACCAAAAGTCATTAAGCAATTTGTTTGGTAATGCCCTTAACCACCATTTCTCAAAATAAGAGCCATTCTCACAGCACTCACCTGTGTAAGCCATGTTCTTAGGGTTGCCATAGGGAGCCCCAGGCTGCACGGGGCTATAAACAGGGTTCATTGTGGAAGACTGAGGATCCTACAGAGAAACAAAGAAAAGAACATTGATTATTAATTGCTCATTCTCCCTGACATCAGCTTTCTCCCCATAATCTTTAGTTTATACTCAGAGAAGCAAATGGTATAGTAGAAAGAAGACTAAACAAAAAGCCATTTGTTTGTACTTGGCCCTATGCTAGACACTTTTCCTACTATTCAGATGACGATATCGGGAAGCAGAGAGGTGATAAAACTTGCCTAACATCAACCCAGGCGGTTGGCTCTCAGTCTGTACTAGTCCCACTCTCCCAGACGACTCTGTCACTAGCATACTGTGTGACAAGGCCAAGTCACTTCCCCTCTCTGGTCTTCAATGTCCTGATGTAAAATCAGTTCGTTTCACCTCTCCAAGGTCCTTTCTAATCCTAAGGATGCTAATCCAGAAGCTTGGAAAGGATACACTTCTGTTCCCCAGGGGAGCCCAAGTACCTGACGATGACCACACGGACTACTAGAAGGAAGAGTAGCAAGTGTCTCACCCAAGTCACTAGTGGCTTGTCCTTTGCACCTACAGAAGACAAGATACTACTTACAACAGCTTTGGGAAAAAGGGACGAGGGTGGAGTCTATTTCCACTGATCATTTTAATGCAAACAAGGAAACACAGCCAAGGCCTCTTTCAAAATTCATTCAAGGCAAAGAAATAAACGTGCGAAACAAGTACCGCCTGCACAAGTGCTCTGTTAATTATCTTAATGAAGCACATTCTCCATTCTGATTAACGGAAAATCTGCCATTAAGCTCTATTAGCCAGTCAATTTGTCCCACCCTGTTTAGGGAACCATCTTTGACACATATGCCAACACATGTTTGAAAACGTGTCTCCAAACATATTATTTACACTTCATAAAAACCAAATAATTCCCTCCTAACTAGGTTCACATGATAGATGGGCAATTTTTTTAGATCATTAATTTTTCCTGTACCACCTCAGGATAGGAAACAGTCAAATGTTGAAGACAAGCAGTTAACAGCTGGCTTGATGACAATTGCTCTGCGATTAATTAGTCTGTCCAGGGTTCTGTAATGAGAGGTAGAGAAAAGATGGATTCTCAAGGAGAGGAAACTGAGGTGGTCAAAGAGGCAAAGAGGAAGATGGCACTGGTCAATTTCTGAGGGCAGAACTTTCAGAAATGTACCCAATGCGCAGACATGGCAAACCACCCCAGGGCAACAGGCTACATTAAACTACCACAACTTGACAAAAGTGAAACTAGAACAATTTGGGGATGAAAGTTCGGAGACATATATTTCAGCACAACTTAAGGAAAAAATATTCTTACAGCCAGGGTTATCCAACAATACAGCCAAGTAACACTATCTCTCTAAATATAAGCACCCTCTTGACAGGGTACTGAGAGAATTAAGAGAGATCACAGATGTTACATTGCAAATGTAAAGTGACATGCAGGTGTAACTGATGATGATGTAATAACACAAAAGACTACCAGTACACTTTCCCTAGCCAACCAGTTCTCTGCTAAATAAGCCAGGGTAAGGAAGACTGTTAAAATGCTAATAAGCAGCACAACTGGCCCTAAAAACATATGAGCACTCTCCCACTGAGAAGGTTCTCTATTTTGCTGATTGGACAAAGTATGAAATTGCTTTTCATAACCAAAGAAACTCATCAGCTTTGAAACTGGTCTCCTGCTGCTCCAAAATAAGGGCCACAGTCTCAGAAGGAGATCACGCCTGGGCAGCACTCCACAACAGCATCGATTCCAATCCAGGCTAATGACTGACAGAAATGAGGTCTGCCAGGGGCTCAAAATTTGGAATAAGAATATGACAGTCACTTGGGGGAAGCTGCTTGCCAGCAGACAGGGTTTCTGGCTTTCAAGGGAAGGTCAGCCTTTTAAAACAGAATCCACACACTGTTAACAGTTTCTGGGCCAGATAAAAACAAGTAGGAAGATTACAAGCTCTATGGTCAGGCAGACTTAGGTTCAAATCCTGGAACTGCGACATACCAAATGTAGGACCACAGGCCAAGACTGAACATACATTTCTTCAATGAAGTTATATAAATGGCCAATAAGCACATGAAAAAATACAAATCAAAACCACAATGAGGCCCTCGCCGGGTAGCTCAGCTGGTTAGAGTATCATCCCAATATACCAGGGTTGCAGGTTCAATTCCTGATCATGGCCAATAGAAGAAGCAACCAAGGAATGCATAAGTAAGCAGAACAACAAATCTCTCTCAATCGCTTCCCCTCTCTCTCTCTCAAATCAATAAACAAATTTAAGAAAATGTTTTAAACCCATAATGAGATACCACTTCACACACACTAGGATGGCTATTATTAAAAAAACCCACAGATAATAGAAAGTGTTGGGAAGGATGTGAAGAACTCTGAAAGGAAACTGTCCAAGGAGAGAAAAAAGCAAAGGCAAATGTGTTCCGAAGTGGAAGCATGTGTGAAATATGGCATGGAGGCCAGTTTAGCTGGAGAGCAGTGAACAAAGGAGAAAAGAGTAGGCCGTGAGATCAGCTAGGTAATGAGGGCCAAATCATGCAGGGCCTCACAGGCCAAATAAGGGCTTTGCTTTCTAATTCATGTGAGATAGGAAGCCACTGGAGTGTTTTGAGCAGAAGAGTGACAGGATTTGCCTTCATTTTTTAAAGTTTTTGTTTGTTTTCTTTTATTTTTATTTTGACTTCATTTTACTGTTGAGCTGAGATCAGATGGCAGGAAGGCAAGAGCAGGGAGATCAGTGAGGATGCTATTGAAATAATCCAGATGAAAGATAATGGTGGCGTGAAATGTCCAGAGAAGCCTCCACTGATAGCTCATCTTAGGCAAAACAAGCAGTAGTGAGTCAGACAGCATGACTTATGACAAGGAAAACAGTCAAGAGATGCTAAAGACTTCCCTCCAGATGGAGCTAGCTGGCTTTCATTCCCAGACTGTTTTGCAAGTGGCCTGCCTGCTGCCCTCAAAAATACCTGAACTATTTCAAATCAACAGCAAAACCTACAAGCATAAAATGACAGAAAGTGATACTTGGAAATATCATATACACAACAGGTTGCAGTATTTAAAATTAGTGTTGTTTGCGTAGTTTACAAACTACTTTAGAGCTTTTCCAAAATTTTTACCATTTAAAAGTGCTTATAGTTTATAATGAGATTTTAACCACTATTTCAAACCTGATCCTTTGAAGTAAGCAATTCAACGGTTATTAATTTCATTTGACAGATAAATAAATTAAAGCTCAAAGGTTTAATGTATATTGGGATACAAACTGTAGGGAAAAGAGAAAGACAGTGTCTGCCCAAAGGAGGTTGTTGTCTAGCTGGGGAATTTTAAGGGTTAAATAAAAACAACAAGGCCAAGAATAATACAAGGAGAAAGACCTTCTGGAACACCTAACCTGCTTAGCAAACCCTCTCCCCAAAAAGCAACAACTGTCAAAAAAAAAACAACAAACATTCCAGGCCTCCGAAAATTAGCCAAAAGCATACATGAAATTGAGACATGTTTGTTCAAGAAAAGTTACTGAACAATATTAAGAACAGTGAAAATCTGTGAACTTTTAGCCTGGGGCTGCCCATTACCCCCACCATCCAGCTCCCTGAGGGTAATTCCATCAAGGCATGCAGGCTGTCAGAGTGGGCTGAGTTAATTTCAAGCCACGCATAGAAAATCTTCTCTGGATGTTGCCCAGAGTCACTGTCAAAAACAATAGAGGGACGGTCAGGGGAACGACAGTGAATAATCCAGGAAGGCCACTACTGTAGCTAGCCTAAAGTCAAAGTACTAGTTAGGGCAGGCAAAAGAGCTGCAGATAAGCCAGAAATTTAAAAGGGAGTTCTGGGGACAAAACAGCTCTAGTGGGTCTTGATAAGACCTGGTGGTCTATAAGGCTTCACACTGCTAAGGAGAAACTTGAGAGGGTCCAGCTATCTGCTAAGCCTATGTGAATATAAGGCCTTGAATACACTGAAAGTAAAGGTAGAAGAACTGTAAATTGCCTGAACTTTGAAGGCATTCCCCCAAAGACAAACAGATCTGTCAGCAAAGGATAGAAGATTTCCTGGCCTAGGGTTAAAGTCAATCAGTGTCTGACCACTAGTCTGTTTACCCAAGGGTGGCCTTTAGGAAGCCAAGTTTAAAAATGAAAATAATAATTTAAAAATATGACCAGAATAAACTACTTGTATGTTAAATAATTCAATAAATATGCATGGTTTAAAAAAAACACCAAACAGACAAGAATAGTCACACTGCAAAGGAGACAGACACTATAGGATAGTCTAAGCAAGTCACTAAATTATCAAAAAAGGCAGCAACACCCCACCCCCGCCAGTGGGGGAGGAATCTGAATCACCTATAATAATTGTCTCTAAGAAGGCCCAGATGTTAGAATCTGAGGATAAATATTTCAAAGCAGCTATTATAAATAATGTTAAAAAAAATAAAGGAAACCAGATTTAAAGAATTATATAAAAGTATGATGACAATGACTCATCAAATAAAGAATATCAATAAATAGAAATTATAAAAGAAAGAAGCAAATGGAAAATGTACTCTGAAATAAAACATTCGTGGGACTCAACAACTGTTTTGAGCTAGCAGAAGAAAGAATAACCAAACTTGAAGACAGATCAATAAAGATTATATAATCTGGAAAACAAAAAGAAAAAAATGAAGAAAAACAAAACAACAGTCAGAGACCTGTAAGCAAACCAACATATATTAATGGGAGTTCCAGAAAGAAGAAAAAAAGAAAAAAAAAAGAGGAATGGGCATAAAAAAATACTTGAAGACATAATGGACAAAAGCTTCCCAAGTTTGATTTTTAAAAAACAAACATTAAACTACACATCCAAGATAGACAATGAACTCCAAGTTGGCTAAACACAAAAAGATCACACCTATACACATCATAGTAGAAAGTGTTAAAAGCTAAAGAGAAATTTTCAAAAGTAAAAACAAGTTATTAGATAAAAGGAATGACAATAGGATTAAAATTAACAGCTCACCTCTCATC